TGTAGCTACAGAAACCTTAAATAAATGAAAGCCAAGAAGAAGAAAATTGAATTTTATTATTGTTTCACGAACCTCTTTACTTAATTCAGCGCTAAAGTAATTGGCAATCTACATTTTTACACAAAACGGAATTGGTTTTTGTTTAATATTTAAGCATTTTATGTAAAGAGTCTACAAATTTAACTTTCATTGGGCCGACTCAATTTTATGGGTTTCACAGGATTTGGCCAATATTAAAAAAAAGCCGTTCTCATTTTCTCTCAGCCGGCAAGAATCGAATATTGCAAGTGTAAAATTGGTTGAAACTACACCGGCCCTTCATAAAGAACGCCCCTAATAAAACGAAAATTCCCCGATCGACTAAAGTTAAGTTTATGATCGAGGCATATAGCAGCCATCCATGTTAAACAGCAAATATATTTGATGGGATATAGCTCGGAATGAGAAATTCTTAAAAACTCGCGTAAACGTTCCTAACTCAAGCAGTTACAGTTTTCGGGCCGAGAAACCGATGCACAGTTGATTTTTCGATGATACGCAAAAACTGGTGCCCGACTATTATTTTTGCGTTGTTATTAGTGTTATTAAATTACGTCTAAATATCCGCAATTCATCATGTTTATGTCTGATCAGTAGGCAGCAACCACTATCGTATATTCGCATTTGGAACGGCATATAGACACATAATCATGATAATCTCATTAAATATCTCAGTGATTAGAACTGAGCCGACTGTTTGTTCTACAGGTCTGCATTTCTCCGGCGTATTAGTTATTGCATTAACAATATGTTCTTATGGCACGTTTCCCACACGGTTCACAATGTCGAGATATAGGTTAGGTATATTCCGATGGTCGATGAACAAGTGAAATCAAATTGTGTGCGAACTTTCCTGACGTCACTTCCTCGAAATTCTCTTATTTATTCACTGACCACTCAAACTTCTTAAAGTTACTGTTAAGTAAAGTCAAGTTGAGACGCTTAAAACCCTGTAGGCACACAAAGTGAAAATCATGTGACAGACGGGTTTACTCTTTCTTGAGCCATTTTAAACGCATAGTCGCTTAATTCTCTACCCTCTCATTACTCTTTATACAAAGGGCGCCTTTATTCACTTAAGTTAAACCCCCGTGCTTTTTTGTCAACAGTACTCTTTTTACCTTGTTCTAACAAGTTCGTATTATTATAACGTCGGCATGACAGTAGTAGGTGTACAAAATGATGTTTGTGTAGAAGAATGTTCATTTACATAATAAATAAATATGTCCCTAACTTCAACAATACTCTGCTTTCGTTTATAATTAAAACGGTTCATATTATTGAGATAACGTCGTGTTTCTAACTCGACGAAATTTATGTGTGTGTCGACAAGCAAACGCAATATAGCTCTCTGTTCTCTTCAGTAGTTCAATGTTACCGGCAATCTGTATAATTCCGGTATTCTATACAAGACCTAGGCAATGTGTAGAATACCGGGGGCGTCCAGGCAATGTATGAAATATTACGAATATGATTGTCCATTACATACTTTGCCTAGGTAATCTATACAATTCCTAGGGATTGTATAGAGAATACCTGGTGGTCCATTGGCAATGTGTAAAATAATACAATCTTTATAAAAAAGGTACGTATTTTTTTGCAATAGAATTAAGAATTACTGCACTAAAAAATATTTATTTATTGTTCGGTTACTAGATCCTACACAAAGAAATAATATTAGACATAAAGTTCGTCATCCATTTTTTGTAAAACTACAGGGACCTCTGTCGACTTCCGGAACGGGGATTCTTACAGTGGTACCCAATGGCACAAGGGGAAATTTTTTCCAGAAGTTTTAAACACCTGCTCTCGTCTTTTACACACATTACCGGCTGCGCATTCGGCACTGTATAGAATACCTAGGCAAAGTATAAAATGAATAATATTTCATACTTAACGTTTTAGGCATTCTATACATTGCCTAGGTATTGTATAGAATACCTAATTATACAGATTGCCGGTAACAGATACACAGTTTGGAGCTGGGTAACAAACTCTCAAAATGGCGTTTGACCACAGAACAACACCGAACACCAAAAAAAAAAATAAAAATTTTCTTTTGTGATACTATCTCATATTCTATCCCTTTCATTTCGGATTAGCACCACGACTAATAGGTATTGAATAATTTCCTATGAAGAGAATTAACTCCCAATCAATCAGACTGAGGAATTATTAGTTAATCTGAAGTCGCAATTGAACACTAATTAATGGATAACACCGTGATTACGATTTATCATATATAATTCATTAATAGATAATGAGGCTAATCCAGTCTACTTAACTGTAATAATTAATAGCACCCAGTAGCTACTAATAGTTAGTTAAGACACGTCACAGAATTTTTTCTGTCAAATTATATCGTTTGGATTACCGCCATTTTGTGGGAATCAATAAATGTGCGCCATCTCCTAAACATTTCGAATCCCAGAAAGTGAAACAGTTTTCTGGACTGCAAGTGAAGTAGAAAATCATTATGCATAAATGAACTAAGGGTAGCTACTCTGTAATTTGATTTAAAAATTACTATAAAAAAAGTTGAATAGGTGCCGTCTTTTGACAAAAAGTTATTAGCGTCCTGCAACACCAGAGGGTGCATCAACGTTCGATTTTCAAAAAAATTATTGGTGTCATTCAACAATCAACAACACGCGTTGTTCTTCAATTAAACTCGTCGAAGTACGTAAACCGGATTTTTTTTGCTACATTGTTAGCCAATTGTGCCACAATGAATTTACACTAAAATTTAACTATCGGCAAGTTTGTTTTTTTTTTAATTATTAATTGGTGCGTAATTAATTTTTAGCTAGCTAAAATTGAAGGTAAGTGGACATAACATGCCGCACTAAATATTAATTAATTAATAACTCATCATGTTTGATTAATAAATCAATTCATCCCAGCTACCACGTACCTACTACAGTGCAGTGAACCTAAACAAAGTTAATGTTTCTGAAAAAAATTGGTTGAAAGTTGTTTCGACAGAACTTCTCTCGCTTTTGAAGAACAGTCCAACAAATACTGTTTTAAAAATAATATAGAAGGTACTAGTCAGAGTGTAATAGAAAAAAAGAAGACAGTTGGGAGCCCCGAGAAGATACAATTTAAAAAAAAAAGACATTTGGGGCCCTCGAGAAGGTTTCACATTCTTAAAAAGACATTTGGCCTCTCCGAAAAGGTTTTACAATAAAAAAAAACACATACACATTTGGCGCCCCCGAGAAGGTTTAACATTTTTAAAAACATCATTTGGGACCGCCGCGAAGGTTTCATATTAAAAATGGACATTTCGCGCCCCCGAGAAGATTTTCCATTTTTAAAAAAGACAGTTGGGATGGCCGAGAAGGTTTCACATTAAAAAAGGCATTTCGCGCCCCCGAGAAGGTTTTACATTAAAAGAAAAGACAGTTGAGACCCCCGAGAAGGTTTCATATTACAAAAAAACACACATTTGGCGCCCCCGAGAAGGTTTTACATTTTTAAAAACGTCATTTGGGACCACCGAGAAGGTTTCATATTACAAATAGACATTTCGCGCCCCCGAGTAGATTTTTTATTTTTAAAAAAGACAGTTGGGACTCCCGAAAATATTTGACATTTTTAAAAAAGTCAGTTGGGACCCCCGAGAAAGTCTTACATATTAAACAAAGGCATTTCGCGACCCAGAAAAGATCTTACATTTTAAAAAAAATACATTTAGGGCTCCCGAGAAAGTTTTACATTTTTAAAAAAGACAGTTAAGGCAACCGAGAAGCTTTCACATTAAAAAAAAAATACATTTGGGGTCCTGATAAGGTTTTACATTTTTAAAAATACATTTGGGATACCCGATAAGATTTTACATTAAAAAAAAGACAGTTGGAACCAGTGGCGGCTCCTCGGGGTGGGCAGGGTGGGCAATGCCCACCCTATTTGATTCTTTACGATAGGAAGTAAAATATTGATTTTTTTCTTTTTTAAATTATTTTTTTTGTATACACAAATATTTATAATAATAAACATCATTTAAGCCAACGGATTTTCTTCATTACATCCCGCAGTTTCCGCAACTGAGAAATTGCAGTTGCAAAAAAGTGCGTCAGATCTCGGCGTTATACGGTTCATGTGAGGATGGGCTAGTCCACCCTGGTCCACCCTCTTGATTGTAAGCAACAACATACGTTCGGTTTTCTATGTACGTGACTGAGAGTAAAGAATTCGAAACGCACGTCTTTGCATATCCGTGTTTTCTTGCTTCAAGCGGGGCACGACGCCCTGCCGATGCCGTCTCAATGTATAACTCGTACGCTGCGGGAGCGGACTTCGGATATTCGATTCAAGATTCAATAATTAATTTCGATTTTTCTGCTCATTTTGTTTGTAAAAGTATGTAGGTAATTATTTTTATTACTCTATTGAAATGTGGGTAAAGTGGTAAGCAAAATAATGATTATGCGAAAATTCTGGAATATTTTTTTTAATAAAAAATAGCAACACCGACATTAATAAATAATTTTTCATATCAAATGAAAATTCGTAATAACCATATTCGTTATTATGACACGGTGTTAACTTTATAATGAATTATAAATTAAAAAATTCGATTAATGAATGATGAGAATAAGTAATTGATTTATTATTGAAGTACGTATGTGACATAAATTTGTATGTTATTACATACGTATTTTTGTTTAATAAAGTAAATGCTTGCTTAACTGTAGCAGAGTCAACAAAAGTTAAATATACTTTTAATTTATTATTTAATCCGGACAGTCCACACAGTTTTGTTCCGCGCTCGTGCTAGGACGGGCGAAGCCACCCTGGAAAATCGGAAGTATTCGGCATGGTTCGTCGCAGACACGACTCTTCAGAATTCAGTTAAATGAGAAACTGCATTGTGCATTTAATTGTTATATAGTCTACTTCATTCAAATTAACGGTTAGGCGGTACCAAAGTAATTGTAAGTGTATTTTTTTCTAAAATGGCAAATCCAACTGCAGGCTGTGCGAGTACTATTAGAGAGGTGGTAAATGAAGGTAAAGACGTTGTGTTTTTTTTAATTAAAAATAAATTCAGTAGCATGGAACTTGATGATCTCCCGAAATGAAAAATTTAATCATTACAAACTCTCGTGGCAGCAACAGAGGCTTTAATAAAAATTGGTATAATAAATATTATTGGCTGACCGGTAGCGAAACGACAAACAAATTATACTGTTGGAATTGTTTGTTATTTAACGAAAAATTACGAACCCCTTGGAATTCCACAGGCTATAGCGACATAAAACATATTAGTACCGCTTTACAGAAACATGATCAATCTGAAGAGCACAAATTCGCGTCGTTAAAATTAAAATTACTAGGAAAACGAAGTCAAACTATACAAAATTCTCTTAATTCGGCTTATCGTGAAAATATTTTAAAGCAGAATGAGATAATTAAAGAAAATAGGGACATTATTAGACGTTTAATCGACATGATAATTTTCTTGGGTACACAGGAACAAGCATTACGGGGACATGACGAATCACAAAATTCTCTTAATCAAGGGAATTTCAAAGAGTTGGCAAATTTATTATCAAAATTTGATGATAAATTTAAAAAATTTTTGGATGAGTCTTCAGTAGGTATTTAGCGGTTTGTCTAAAACTATTCAAAATGATTTAATTGACAGTATCAACAAAATTATATCACAAATAATATCAGCAGAAATTAAACAATCACCTTGCTTCTCCTGGCAGGTCGATGAAACCACTGACATCCAGTGTTTATCGCAATTATCCGTAATTTTTAGATACGTAACAAACGGTAAAATTGTAGAACGTTTTATGGGATTTTTCAATGTAAGTGAAGGACGCAGGGCTAATGATTTATTTCAAATGTTGACAAATACATTTCAGGATTTTGATCTTGCAAATAAGTTAATAGGACAAACGTATGATGGAGCATCTGTTATGTCAGGGGAACTGAATGGTTTACAATCAAAAATAAAAAATGTTGCTCCTCAAGCACTTTTTATACATTGTTATGCCCACAGAATGAATTTAATTTTACAAGACTCTGTCAGTAAAATAAAGGAATGTCGAATTTTTGTTGCTAATGTGAACGGTTTGTCAGCTTTTTTTTCAAAATCTACTAAACGTACCAAAGTTTTGGACGAAGTGGGTACCGCACGAATACCTAGTGGTTCAGATACGCGATGGAATTACAAATCTCGCACAATTAATGTAATTATTAATGAAAGATCCGAATTGTTGGAAGTATTTGAATATATTTTAAATAGCGATGAGTTTTCTAGAGATCAGGAGTCTATCAGAGCGGCAGTTGGATTCAAAAACATGTTAGAAGATTTCACATTTTTATTTTTATTAAACACATTTTACATTATTTTTGAACAAACCGATGCCATTTTCAATATCTTCCAGTCTAAATTCTCGGATGTGAACTACTGCAAAAATAGAATACAAAATCTTTTGGCGACATTAAAAAACTTTAGAGAGGAAGATAACTATTTTCAAAAAATATATAATGATGTATGTAACATTGTTGGAGGACCAATAAAAAAACGCAGGATAGACCACGATTCAACAACTTATTTTAGGAGACTATATAAGGAAATATTAGATTTAATTATGAATCAGATTGATATTAGATTTAAAGATTTAGAGTTTTTAGCTTTTTTGGACTTACTAGATAAAAGTAAATTTACTTTATTTAAAAAGAAGTTTCCTCACGATTTATTAGATTTGTTATTAAAGACTTATCCAAAATTATTCATAAAGAATATATTACAAAATGAACTACAGGTCTGGTATTCCGATCCAGACATATTTGGTAATTCATCTAATTATTCAGATATTACAGAATGTATTTACACAAATGAGTTACAAAGTGATGTTCCAGAAATTTATAAATTATTATGCGTTGCATTATCATTACCAGCTAGTTCTGCGTCGGTGGAAAGGAGCTTTTCTACTCTTAAGCGCATCAAAACATTCAGTAGAAACTCTATGGATCAGTCTCGATTAAGTAATTTGGCAACAATCGCTATTGAAAGGGGTTTAGTAAAATATTTGCAAGATAATTTTGAAACTTCGAAATTTTATGATAATGTTATAGACCATTTCGCCCTCAGTAAAAATAGACGAATTGATTTAATCTACAAGCAGTAGTTAAATTAAGTAACAATTCATTTTCCACCGTAATAAAGTTTGAAATAATTTAAGTATTATTTATTTGTTCTTATTTATAGAATTTATTTTATTTTTTTGCATTTTAAAGTTGTTGGTATTTTGAGAATAATTTTTATTTTGCTTGTTGTTATATATTAATTTTATTATTATTTTGAGAATTTATTTTTTGTTTCACTTCTCATTTTTAATTTTGTTTTTATGTTTATTATTAGTTTTGTTAATTTTTGTTTTAACGAGTACGCTACATCAGATAATTTTCCAAATTCCTACTTTTTCTACGTGTATCTTAGTAAAGGTTTGAAATTTAACGTTTTCTTTTCATATTATTTCAAAATCTTCACATGTTGGTATTTGATGTACTGTGTACTTTGATAAACTCCTAACTCCCGTAACCCATTTATGTACAGAACCCTTAATTTTCCTTCCCTTTCCTCTCCTGGCAAGAGTTGCTCTGACCTTCTCGTTGGTTCTTGCTGAACGATATATGTAATATTTACAAAAAATATTTTGTATATATATATTTAATATATTATATATATATATAATATACATAAAATATTTATTATATTGACTGACATAGAGCACCAAAACAAAAATGCTCTCTCGCTCGCACAAAGATGTTTTAGATATATGTATTACAATACATACATACTTTTTTCTAATACATGTTATAACATACGGAAAATGCATTGCCCACCCATCGAAAATCACCACGAGCCGCCACTGGTTGGAACCCCCGAGAAGTTTCACATTAAAAAGAACCACATTTGGTAGCCCCGAGAAGGTTTTGCATTTTTAAAAAAGACAGTTGGGACCCCAGAGAAGGTTTGACATACTTAAAAAAAGACAATTGAGGCCCCCGAGAAGGTTTCATATTAAAAAAAAAAAACACACATTTGGCGCCCCCAAGAAGGTTTTACATTTTTAAAAACGTCATTTGGGACCACCGAGAAGGTTTCATATTACAAATAGACATTTCGCGCCCCCGAGAATATTTTTTATTAAAAAAAAAAAAAAAACAGTTGGGACTCCCGAGAAGGTTTCACATTAACAAAAGACATTTGGGGCTCCCGAGAAAATTTGACATTTTTAAAAAACACAGTTGAGACACCCGAGAAGCTTAAAAACACAGTTGGGACCCCCGACAAGTTTCACATTAAAAATACACATTTGGTAACCCCGAGAAGGTTTAACATTTTTAAAAAAGACAGTTGGGACCCCAGAGAAGGTTTGACATACTTAAAAAAAGACATTTGAAGCCCCCGACAAGGTTTTACATTTTTAAAAAGTCAGTTGGGACCCCCGAGAAGATCTTACATTAAACAAAGGCATTTCGCGCCCCAGAAAAGATCTTACATTAAAAAAAAGACATTTAGGGCTCCCGAGAAAGTTTTACATTTTTAAAAAAGACAGTTAAGACAACCGAGAAACTTTCACATTAAAAAAAAATTACATTTGGGGCCCCGATAAGGTTTTACATTTTTAAAAATACATTTGGGATCCCCGATAAGATTTTACATTAAAAAAAAGACAGTTGGAACCCCCGAGAAGTTTCACATTAAATGAAACTTGACGACTGCATGGCTATTGTGTTTTTTTCTCATTACATTTTTGTAGTGGGAATTTAAAAAAAATTGCGATGACGTCATCAACATTTTTGCAAGGACACGTATATCAGTTGGGATAGATGTAGTGTAATACTAAGAATAAAATTATTGTATTCCCAAATTTTCGGGAAAATGAATTGGGTCGTTTTGAATATTGATTTTTATAATCAATAAAATAACGAAACAATTTACTCGCGTATACGGCAACTGAAAATCGTTTATGTATAAACATTCTTAATTTAAGATGACAAGCGTAACAGCATACGTGAAAGTCAAACAGAGAAACTGTAAACAAAACGACCATCGGTTTTATTGCTTCGACTTCCGCTTATTATATAAAACATTGGGTTTTATTTTAATTCTTGACGGTGAAATTCACAATTGGTTGATTATAAACATGTCTATTTCACATTCGCGGAACCAAGTGATCGCATAAAACAAATGCAGGTCTGTAATGTTAAAGTCGATGTAAATAAGCGATGCTACCCTTATGTTTCAACCGAGTTTTTCCTTTAACAAATTTTGTGTCTACCAAATTGGGTTGGTTGGGGTGTAATACTAATAATAAGTGTTGCCTTTAATTTAATCAATAAAATAAATTGACTTCATTAATTTTTTTGAACCACCTCTTAAGAAAATCTAAAAAATATGAATGGAATGATAAATCACAAGTACAAACTCATCATATTTTTTGCATTTTAGATAGGATTTATTCAGCAAAATTTAAGGGTGACGTCATCAATTTTTTTAGGAGGGATGAACAAATACATTTTGAACAAAAGTTTACCATGCTTATAATAACATTAAAATATTCCCAAGATTTCAAAGCATTCGGTTTTGTAATTCCTGATTAAATCGATAAAATAAATTCACGCCTTCATTAATTTTTTTGAGTCACCCTGCATATGCAAATCCAAAAATATGAATGGAATGATAAATCACAAGTACAAACTCATCATATTTTGTACATTTTAGATACGATTTATTCGGCAAACTTTTGAGCTGACGTCATCAGTTTTTTGTAGAAGATAACCAAATATATTTTGACTAAAAATTTATTATGCTCTTTATAACCTTAAAACATCTGCAAGATTTCAAAGCATTCGGTTTTGTAGTTCCTGATTAAATCAATAAAATTAATTTACGCATTCATTAATTTTTTTGAGTCACCCTGTATATGCAAATCGAAAAAATTTAAATGGAATGATAAATCACAAGAAGAGACTCACCATATTTTGTACATTTTAGATAGGATTTATTCAGCAAAATTTTGTGGTGATGTCATAAATTTTTTAGGAGGGACGACCAAATACATTTTGATCAAAAATTTACCATGCTTATGATAATTTTAAAATATCTTCAAGATTTCGAAGCATTCGGTTTTGTAGTTCCTGAGTAAATCAGTAAAATAAATCTACGCTTTCATTTATTTTCTTGAATCACCCTGTATATGCAAATCCAAAAAATATGAATGGAGTGATAGATCACAAGTACAGACTGATCATATTTTGTACATTTTAGATATGATTTATTCGGCAAATTTTCGAGCTGACGTCATCAAGTTTTTGGAGGGGATAAGCAAATATATTTTGACTAAACATTTATTATGCTCTTTATAACCTTCAAACATCTGCAAGATGTCAGAGCATTCCGTTTTGTAGTTCCTGATTAAATCAATAAAATATATTTACGCATTCATTAATTTTTTTGAGTCACTCTGTATATGCAAATCCAAAAAATATGAATGGAGTGATAAATGACAAGTACAGGCTCATCATATTTTGTACACTTTAGATATGATTTATTCGGCAAACTTTCGAGCTGACGTCATCAAGTTTTTGGAGGGGATAAGCAAATATATTTTGACTAAACATTTATTATGCTCTTTATGACCTTAAAACATCTGCAAGATTTCAGAGCATTCGGTTTTGTAGTTCCTGATTAAATCAATAAAATATATTTACGCATTCATTAATTTTTTTGAGTCACCCTGTATATGCAAATCCAAAAAATATGAATGGAGTGATAGATCACAAGTACAGACTCATCATATTTTGTACATTTTAGATATGATTTATTCCACAAACTTTTGAACTGACGTCATCAAGTTTTTGGAGGGGGTAAGCAAATATTTTTTGACTAAAGATTTATGATGCTCTTTATAGCCTTAAAACATCTGCAACATTTCAAAGCATTCTGGTTAGCAGATTAAAAATTAAATTTCAAAATGTTGTTTTATAATTTTGATTTTTTTTCCAAAAATCTGGACGTTTCGGGTGAAAAGTCGATTCGGAGTTGTAAACTACATGTGTAGCACTATGTTATTTTATACAATTGAAAACCCATTTACTATGTACAATTTTGAAGTGACGTCATCGCATTAGTGGTGGGGATGATTAGACAAATTTTGGTTAGCGTTTTACCATCTACATGATATTCTTAATATAAGTACAAAATTTCACAACAATCGGTCGAGTACTTTCGGAGATTATCTGTCTAATAAAAATCCGGGGGCAGACGGACAGACGGACGGACGGACAGACGGACGGACGGACAGACGGACGGACAGACGGACAGACGGACAGACAGACGGAAATGGGAGACCTATTTCTTCGTCTTCTAGGGGTCATGAAAGATCGAGAAAACGTAAAAGTAGAGAGTCGGCCGACGGACTCGATTACAATACTTCCTTTGCTTACGCTCGGGAAGTAAAAAGACATTTAGGGCTCCCGAGAAGCTTTCACATTCTAAAAAAAACATTTGGTAGATCCGAGAACACTTTACATTTTTAAAAATACATTTGGGATCCCCAATAAGATTTTACATTAAAAAAAAACACATTTGGTATCCCCGAGAAGGTTTTACATTTTTAAAAAAGACAGTTGGTACCCCAGAGAAGATTTGACATACTTAAAAAAAGACAATTGAGACCTCCGAGGTTTCATATAAAAAAAAACACACATTTGGCGCCCCCGAGAAGGTTTTACATTTTTAAAAACGTCATTTGGGACCACCGAGAAGGTTTCAGATTACAAATAGACATTTCGCACCCCCGAGAAGATTTTTTATTTTAAAAAAGACAGTTGGAACCCCCGAAAAGTTTCACATTAAAAAAAAACACATTTGGTATCCCCGAGAAGGTTTTATATTTTTAAAAAAGACAGTTGGAACCCCAGAGAAGATTTGACATACTTAAAAAAAGACAATTGAGACCCCGAGAAGGTTTTATATTTAAAAAAAAAAACACAAATTTAGCGCCCCCGAGAAGGTTTTACATTTTTAAAAACATCATTTGGAACCGCCGAGAAGGTTTCATATTACAAATAGACATTTCGCGCCCCCGACAAAATTTTTTATTTTTAAAAAAGACAGTTGGGACTCCCGAGAAGGTTTCACATTAAAAAAAGACATTTAGGCCTCCCGAGAAAATTTGACATTTTTAAAAAAGACAGTTGAGACACCCGAGAAGCTTAAAAAACACAGTTGGGACCCCTGACAAGTTTCACATTAAAAAAAACACATTTGGTAATCCCGAGAAGGTTTTACATTTTTAAAAAAGACAGTTGGGACCCCAGAGAAGGTTTGACGTGCTTAAAAAAAGACATTTGGCGCCCCCGAGAAGGTTTTACATTTTTAAAAAAGTCAGTTGGGACCCCAGAGAAGGTTTGACATTCTTAAAGAAAGACAACTGGGACCGCCGAGATCGTTTCACATTCTTAAAAAAAATTGTTCCAAGGTTACTTCGACAGAACTTCCTTCGCCCTGGAAATATAGAATTCCGCTTCTTTGAAAAAATATAAAAAAATTTTGTTTTCTGATAACCTTTATACAGGGTCTCTAGAATGTATGGAAATGATTAAATATCTTGAGAACAAGTTCTACAAATTCATTGAAATTAGGTGTAGGGGTACAAGAAGTTGTGGGCTAGTTATTATTCGTCACACAAACATATCAAATAAAATGGTAACAGCTCTGCAGACAGCACGAGTTCGCAACTACGACTGATACATTTTTGTTGTGCAGTTTTTCGAACTAAGCGTTATTGTTAAGTACGTGACAAATTGCAAACAGCACATCTGGGGTTACTGGAGGACCCAACTAGTTCATAAATTATCGAAGAATTATCTTCGATTCTTTTCGGTGAACGAATGAACCGGCGTCAATAGCACCCCCCAATCCCTGCGCCACGGGAACGCAAATTTCAATTATTATTTTATTATTACTAAATATCACCGGGCGCGTTCTCTAATTTAAAGAAAATAGGGGGACTCATTCTTAATTTGATGAATAAACAATTCTGTGATGACGTGATTAACAAGATAATATTAATAACAAACCATTACCAATGCAAGACAAAAAATACAAAAGTGGTCACTGGTCAGTTACCATATTTCCTTAGCTTACTTTCGGGAAGTAAAAACTGTTTTGATTTGAGTGAGTTTGTCGTCACAAAACAGGGGACTAAAATTATTGTAACAGTCGCAATCGAACAGAATGTTCTGAATATTATTATTATAATTTTTATGAAATAAAGACGGGCGTATTTTAACATTTTCGAAAAAGTGGGGTAATTTCATCTAAATAAAAATTGCTATGACGTCATGAATATAGCATAATATATAGCAAAATTTTGGTTAGGCTTGAACCATCTATATGATACTTTTAATATATGTACAACTTGACAACAATCGGTCCAGCAGTTTCGGAGATTACGTGTCTAATAAAAATGGATTCAGACAGAGAGACAGACGGAAATGGGAGACTACTTTTTTTCCTACTATGGGGGTCGAGAAAATATTATATTATTATTACTTCCTTAGCTTACGCTCGGTAAGTAAAAAGAAGTAAAATGAGAATTACGCACGTGTATTGTCAAAGAGTTAATTAAACTTAACAGCACATATATTTTGCTGATCATTACATTTTATAAGGTAAAAATTTTATTTAATTTGGACGTAAATGTCTGTCAATATTTAATTAATATGGAAAAAAGTCCTGTGAACGAATTTAATAGGTAATTGGAAAACAGAAATATTTAAAATAAAGTTCTTTTATGAAGCAGCAAAAACAAATGACCAGATATGCACAAGTGTGCAAGCTTTTTTAAAATTTCGATTTAGACACAAGCCCAACTCGTAGTATGCAACCAACAATACACGTGGTTTGCATCCAAACTAAATGTCAAGCGAACTGTCATGTCAATAAACATAAATATTGACACAGTATAGAGCTCCACTGACCATGGAATCACATGAGGGCTCACCATCACCGCCCCCACCCTCAGACCCACCCCCTAGCTTGCCGCCACCGTTACCAGCCGTAAGTACCATAATAACTTTACGATCATTATATCACTTTATTTTAGAGACCTCGCAAAATTCCGCCCCAGCAACCACTTCCAGTGCAGGAAGACAATCATTTCGACAATGAGGTGGAGGGCGAAGTCGACGATGAAATTTCACAACAAATGACAGCTTCATACAGTGAAATTTCTTTCAAATCAGGGATCAGTCCCGAACTTGAAGCCCCCTTGTCTTTAACCATGGATCCTATACCGCTAGCCGAACACATAATGCAGAGACCCGTTACTCTGAGTTGTGATAGAAATATCCCCTCTTGTAAGCCACTGGGGCCTTTGAATCTAGAGGGCACGGTGCACGTAGAGGGGAACATGACACATTTTGTAGCTGAAGATTTAGAATATAAAATAAAGTTGTCTAGTCCTGTGACAAAGAAAGGAGGTGGTGAGGGGACAATGATATTGCGTGGGGTTACAAAGTTGTGTTCTAGATACGCCTCCTTTACCAGGGGGCTCCAGGAGTTGCACCCCTAGCACTCTCTACAGGCAGTTATTGGTACCACAAGTGGGGCAGTTGGATTCAGGGTTGTTGAATGATTTGGAGTGTGAGGCGCAAAAAATGGCCACTTCTATTGATAATTTGACTGAAAATTTGTGCGGGATTTTACATTCTGTAGGTTTTGGTATGTTCTGTGGTTTGTTTTTAATCTAGTTATTACAGATTTCATCAATTACGGCTGATAATGTAGATGTCTATAAAAACGCAGTGTCGAAAATGTCCGACGCCATGGATTCAAACATTAAAGTATGTATGACACAAAAAAGTGACTGTGGGGGGCTATGAATGACAAATGGATAAGTGTGGTTTTGATTTAATAGTATTAAATTGACCCCCGTGTTCACTTTATACATGTGTTTAATAGATGGAGGTCGTATGATATTGATAACAGAAAATTTAAAAATCTTTTAGTACTATAGGATTTGATCTTTAAACAATTCCTCTCCTATCATATGACCTCCATACTTTATTTAAAAGTCATTTAATGTTAGCATTTGTAATTCTTAGAGTATGTACACCATGATGGCGAAAACAGAAGAAGTTACGCAAGCTATGAAGACGGTACAAAATCACGCAGCTAGGATGTATCCTTTCAAAATTCGTCTACATCAGGTGTCTCAGATTTTTACAGGGAATATTACTACATATTTATAAACTTAAATGAATCGCAGTCTGAGACAGCTGGCAATTTCCTTGTGTGTTTAGCAGTTTTCCTTAATTCTTTTACCAGAAAAGAAATTAAAAGGTTAGTGGACCTGTTTGAAAGTTACGTTTGAGGCGAAATTTAGGAAATACGTATTAATTCTGTAGATAGACAATGAAAGCAAACTGTTGCACAAGTGACCAACAAACGATGCCTAAACTTGTTTATATAAGATCTTGTGCTCCATTTTAACGGTGTTCACGCGTTTATTAGTATCAAGGCTTTTTGTTGACGCTACGTTGTTATAATTTTATATTTTATCTGCTTGTTATACACCTTTTTATTTATTAATTCGCAGTATTGTTTTAAATTTTATTTCATCATTCCTGAGCGTTTTAACGGATTTTTATCTCTCCGACAATGTTTAGCTATTTTTGTATAATAAAATTCTGTTACCAAATGTTTAATAATTATTGGAGTCTGGGATATGTGTATTGTGTATGCGACGCATCGCCATCTAGTGATTGGTCGTGATTATAGAAACGGTTTGAGTCTCCGCTCAGTGTACACAGCTGCCCCCTATCATTTTTTTTCATACAATCAAGAATAAAAAAGTGAACACGAATCTGAATTTCAAATTCGACTAAAATTGTTATAAATTATTCTAAGCATGTTATTTAAGTGTCGTTGTCTCGTTTTTGCCTTGAAGCCGTAGCGGCGCCTTTGAAAAATTCGCAAATATGCACGTCGAAACAGGCGGGGTTGTAAATCACGTAATTATTTACTGTGGGAGAATAGAGAATAATTGCGGTGCAGCTATTTTCCGTTATTGCGATTTTTGCAAGTGTTGCGAGAAATTGCATAACGGATTCTGCCATAAATTAGCCAGATAGTGGAAATTGTGTTCCAGTGCAGTACAGTAAACAATTTCTTTTACGATCCTTTTAACAATCGCGTCACGGTTCTTTAGAGCAGACTTGGCTCGAATTATATAATGATTTTCCCGCCGGATTACTAAATTATAATAAAAGAAATAATAAATCTTTTCAAGAGCAGGCCAAACTGCGAATGATGAATATGTTTCTGCAACGTCCATTAATTTTATTTCCGCGGCGCCGGAATTGCGTAAAATTTGGGTTTATTTAGTCGAAATTGGCGTAAAATCCCGGTTTTGGATTAAAGTGGGGACGGGTTGTTTTGCGTAGCCGGCCGCGACTACAGTTTTATCGATCAGCGTTTATTGCTACAAGGTGACTAATTGCGGACGCTTCATTAAGAACGCATTAAAACAGATAACGATAATAAATTATTCCGGCGGTAAATTTTCTTCAAAGTTTTAAACAGACAATTCTACGGAAACGGAGATTGATATAAATGCAAAGAGGGAAGTTATCATAAAAATTAACTTGTCGGGTTGTTATTGAATTAGATAAAGAGTTTTCATCTTGCAATTGTCCCGAACTCATTTCCCACGACGAAGTAATTTAAAAGCCGTCATTCCGACAAGAACTTATTGTAATAGTGACATTTTCAATTCGTCGAAGGCTTTTTTCAAGAAATGAAAAACTGCGCCGCTTGAATACAATTCCATTTTTTCTGTGGTCATCACCTAAATCGACAGAGGGATTGTGTTGGAGCATTTCCTGTTTCCTCTACACGATATTTCGCTAAATGTTTCGCAAACCACGTCCTTTCTTCCCATGCACTTTGTTAATAATGCCTTTACACGCACTGCCACGAAGGCTTTTACATAAAATGGAACTCATGTGCGTGTGTAATTCAGAAACAACACCTACACTAAATGACAGCGGTGGAGTGCTTGTCCTCGAAGAAAAATACCACACAATGAACCTACGTTGCTGCCGTCGGATTGTTTATTCGCCATTTACCGCCGCTCCACGCACCAAGAAAATATATAAATTGGAACACGTCGAGGTGATTAGAAACATCTCAACCTCCTTTCTTCCTAGATCAATAAAAAGAAAAACCAACAACAATTTTCAAGCGTTAGCACGTGCCGTGTACCGTGGAAATGTAGTTTTAGGCTCATCATGCGGTATTGTCATCGTCAATTTTAATTTCTCTTTGTCATACGATTCGATGTTTATTTGTTCAGACGCAGCGCCTTTTCCTTCTGCTTATCATATAAATCAGAAACTAAGCAAGACGTATGGTGTTCCTAGGATATTATAACAGGAAGTACATTGAAATAAACGAATTGTTTTGACAGGTTACATCATTCTTGTTATCGAAATAGGAGACAGAATATCAACAAAGTGATACGAAGGGGCGCTGAGAATAGGGGAAGACGCGATAAGATCACTTAAAATTGCATTCCCTTATTGCTTCTATTTTTAGCGACGTGTCGGTTGTTAAAAATTTCTCAACAAATCGTGATTAATTAATTTTTATTTATAACGAAGTTGCGGCAAGGAGCTATCTAATAAACAAACCACGTTCTCGCCGAAAGGGAGAAGATTTATGACCGTTTTGTCATACAGTAAAAATCTATTTGAGTAAACAGTCCAACCCCGATTTTATGGTTAGTGAATAATTTAAGCCCCTCTATCTTCTCACAGTAAATCTGCACAAACACAATATCAGCGCTAAAAAGGGGTGCCAAATTGACAATATTTAATCGGAGATCAAAAGACGCTTTCGCATTTAACAAAGAATTCATAAATTACATTAGCTTCGGGAAGGTAAAATTGTTAAGTGTCGCTATTATATAGAGATTGTAATTTTGATTGTCGCACACGCTAAACAGAAGGGTCTACTTTCCGGCTTTCTTCACTCCCGGCATGTTACGGCATTAAGGACAAAACACTCATTACACTTTGTCTTCAAAAAGGGTAACAAGCACACAGGCATTACCGCACTGATTAAATCGCGCTTTATAGGTATTCATTTACAATACCCCTCGTAAACCACCTCATTCTACACATTTCAAAGTCATTTCTGAAACAATGCGTGTCTATTTGATCAAAAAAATTCAACAAGACAAAATCGCCCCTCGAACTCGCTTCGCTCGCGGATTAAGTTACGCCACAGGCGTGATTTATAATGCAGCGCAAATTAATGAAATTAAGCTGCGCTTTGAGTGAATTAGCCTTAAAACCGCGAAACGAGTTTAACTGGTCCATTAACCGCGATTAACCGACTGTTACTTATTTAACGACTTGACTTAATTAACTTGCAAATGAATCCGATCCGGATTCGCCGATTCTGTTTGAACTAAGGCGGCGATTAAGCGAATCGCGACAACGGGGTAAATCCAGACATTAATTTTAGATGTCTCGTCGCATGTTCGCTGCCCATTTCTGCGCAAATTTGATTCGGGATGGCTAAAAGGAGCGGGAAATTTGGAGCACCGCACCGAAGTATATTACACGAATTTGTTGTTAATAAGGTTTACGTAATGGGTGTGCAGATGGTGAGTGTATTAATTAGGATATGGGCGTTGGTATTGATTGGGCATGGCAGAGGTGTCGCTAATGTCGTTTCTTCTGGGGTGATTAATGTGTTTAGATTGTCGGGAATAATTCAGGGCTCAATTAGATTGTTTTGCAAATAGAGGTAATGAGAAGTATAATTTTCATATAATTCCGATAATAAAGTGGGGCGCCAGTTTGTCGAGCGTCGATTTGTTCAGCGGGCCGTACTTAGCGCGCTGACCGACGCCTCTGTCGCTTGTGACGGTTCACGCTACATATATCACACACTTTATTAAACACTATTGTGTAATCGCTAATGGGAGCGGGGTCCCGGCCCTCGGCCCATCGCTCACCCGAACGCTTACAAGGTAGACAGGAGAAACTCACACCCAAATGTACAAACTTTCACCAAAAAGAAAATCCAAATTCTGACACTTTCTACAGACAGACAAGTGAACAAATGTCACAATTTTTTAGTTCGCGAAAACCTAACCGAAGTGAGTGGATGGCAATTCCCCCATGCGCAACGAAGGGTCGAGTAATAAGAGCAAAATTAAAACTCCTTGTCACCTCCTTGATGATTTACACTATTGACAGGTACATTTGAAATAAACAAATCTACACTATCAAATAATTTTTGCTTCCTGGCGTGAAATTTAATTTTCGAATCGGGACGCCACAGTTATATTCCACAGTCGCGGACGTAACGTGTGCTCGGAACCCCCGCATGCATAACGTTTGTGGCTCAAGTACCGGTTAATTTGAATGGAACAAGAAGGGTTCCCGAGAAGCCCCTTGGGGGAGTCTCGCTTGTCGGTTTTTTGCAATTAGTCGCGCGGAACCGGCAGCGAAGTGAATATTTTAAGCGAGTTTGGCCCATTTTTCGTCGAACGTCGCTGCCAGTATGGTAATGGCGCAAGTTGGCCCCACCGACACGTTAGTCTGGAGCACATGCATTATCATCTCATCAACACGTCTGCTTCGCAATATCGATCATCCATCGGCTCGCCGTGAATAGAGTCCTCATGGAGCGACATTTGCTGATTCCTTTGCATTTCGAGCGTTTTCGAGCTCTTGTGCAAAATTTAGACGGTCGTTCTGATCCACGACTACGTAAATATAAAACAAGCGCTGACACGTGGTCGTCGAATTTGCTTTCGATTCCATTTTCCGGGCGACTTTACGCCGGCAAATGGACTGCTGACGATGCTCTGCTAAACATTCGTGAACAGGAATTTTCAGTTGTTGGAAAAGTGTCACGTGGGGTCCAGGTATCGACTAGCTTTAATGGTAAAGTTGGGTTTTTGTGACGTGGAATGATGGATTGTTTCAATTTTTGCGTTTAGAGGATGAGTTAATTCCATTGAAAACGCGATTATGGAAACAGTTACAACGACTTAAAGTAAGCGTGCATTTGTTCAGAATTACCACTTTGTATTTATTAGGAGGCATTTACTGAGCAATAAACTTTAATTGTTTATTAAGTTTTGTGTAATAACGGTTCAAGTTAATGCAGCTCTAACTGTACTACCTATTTTAATTTTAATAGCGCGCAAACGTCCAAGACATTAATGTTGTCCATAATTCTTCAGGCAGATTAACTTTTGGATTCTATTCTTGGATTTGCTGGTTTTGTTTGTGAACAGCTGGACACGTCAAACAAAAAATTTTTGCCTGACTTCATTGAACCGTTTTGTCTTTCCGCGAAGCGTATTTATGTTTTTGTCCACTTTGTACGAAAGCCCGAAAATTATTATTTCAAAGCAATTTTTGCTCGAGACCTTACTTTATTAGATTTATCTTTCGGCGTAAAATTTAAATTGTGCTACCACTCCCATTTGGAGGGCTGCGTCAGCACATTGTGAAGATTAATGGCAACGTATTAAAATTGTTTGGTGTCCGGCTAAGTAAATACATATTTCTGTAATTATAATCTGCGAGTGTGTTTTTTCGGACGATCTTTGATGATGATGATGATGTTATTATTTATGCTTTTGAATGTACATCGGGTCTGCCCGAGCAATTT